CATTTCCTCCCCAGAAATCAAGCAACACCTCTCTCTGCTTTCTGCAGCTTCCCCAGTAACATCAGGACTCACCTCAAGTTTATCTGATCATGGATTGGAAATCCCCAGGGCAGAAAGACTCCATCTCAGCATTCCACAGCACTGGGGAATGCACTCTTCCAAAACAGTGCTTTCTGTGGGGTAAAATGGCTATTGGAATTGCTTTACTGTCAATAGAACATGATACAGTGAAAAAGTAAGATCATGGTATTCTAAAACCAATCATATTGCCCAAGCAAGAAAACAGGGTCTATAGAACTTGTAAGAGAGGCTTATATATTTCCTACCTAATATTCTTCAATTTATGATTAAAAGCTGTAAGTTCCATGGGATGTAATTTTCAAATAATCCCTTACACTTATATATACCTTTCTTACCACCATCTCTAATGTATGACTTGAGTATAAAAGTTTGCAGCCCCACTGGGTGAATTTTCCACTGATGCAAGTACAACAATTTCTAAGTCTATGAGAACTGTTAGGAATGTGTAGCAAAATTCAATATCTGCATTATAATAATGCACTTGCAAAAAAAAAAAAAGGTTAAATAGACATCCATAGTTGAATGCATAAATCTAAGACTTTCAAATGAGTATTTGCTATAAACACAGAGACACTGAATCATAGTCCATGGCTGGAATGGATCCCTTTACCTCATCAAGGCACTGACACACAAGTGCGACAGACAGTGTTGTTTTTATGACTGATATTGAAACCATAAGATAATGTGCAGGATGGTAAGAATACTGGAGTGGAATGCAATAATGAAAAATATGAGTGATTTCATTCTACCTGAGGAGTATATATTTTATAGATTTAAATTTGAAGGGAAGCAGCTCTTTTAACTTAAGTGCTTGTTTGGGAAAGTTAAACAGAAGCATGTGTTGGACCCCATTTTTTTTATATGCTCAAAAAAACTCCGCACAGACCCATTCTGAAACAAGAGTTTCTTTTAATGGACAAACCAGATCCAAGCCTGTGTGCTTCTGCATAAGGTTAATCTTAATGAAATCGTAGATGGAGCAGCAGCAGCTGGGTTCAAGGCTCCCAAGGCTCCTGCCTTCTGCACTCAGATGCACTGGAATTTGCATCCTTATCCTGTCCCTGACCGTGTGACCTTGGACAAGTTAGTTAACCTTTCTAAGTCTCAGCTTCTTCACCTTCACGGAGATAACAGGGTTTTGTGCGGATTAAATGAGATCATGCACTAAGAGCTTTACGCGCACTACCTGACACATATGACCACTTAAGAAAGTGTCCTTCTCATGATTAGATGTGGCACTCTGACTATATTTTAGAAGCAGTTACAGTCTTGCTACCATATCCCAACATCTTGTGATAACCATTTTCATTCTGTGCTTCTACCTTTTACTGTTCTTTTCAACACAGTATTTTGGGAGGAAAAAGAGAATGAAAGGTAATTTGTTACAAGCATCCCACTTTTGAGACTGTTGCTTGAAGCAAGGTGAAAAGCTAAGGAAAAGAGGTTCATATACACAGAAGAGAAATCCAGTCTTTAAGATATAATGTTGTTAGTGTCTGGAATATAAACAAATAATGCAATTTGTATCTATAACATATGGTAGGTTTTATTTTAAAAGAAACAAAAGTGAAGCAGTATTAAAGAAGATGGAAGGAACCAATATGGGCCTAGGGCTATCTCAGTATTGGTGACTGAAACAGGGATTGGTGGGCTACATTAACCGGGGATTTCATAGGGCCTGGCTTCCAGCAGGTAGCAAGACTCAGGGATCTTCAGATGCAAAACTTTAATGAGTTTGAGCACACATGTCTCCGGGATTCTGTTCAAGGTCTCCTCTCAGTAATCAAGACAGATAATTGTCTGGGTTTAAGCCTCCCTGGCAAGTTAGCATGCTGGCAACTATCTTGCATAGTTCACACCTGTCCCCTGTACAGGATTCCAGCCTGACGGTGAAAACCCACCATTCTTCCCTGAAAGCCCATTCTGCTGCTGAGGCATCTCCAGACAAAGGGGGAAACCCACTAGCAAGTGGTCACGACCAACCAAGTCACAAATCCCCAGGGTGTGGGATTTCCACACCAATACCACGCCTGAAAACCAAAAATAGGCGCCCGCTTGTTATACTGCCATGGGATTTCCCCAGCAGCAATGCCCCACGCCCCCACTCCCCAGCCCAGGTTACATGTTTTATTAATAAATGCAAGATGGCACATGGAGGCAGAGAATGGGAGGTAAGGCATCTGCAGTTGGACCCGAACCAGGGCAGTTTGCAGAAATAAATGAGAAGCACGTGACAAGAGGGAGACCCCCCCCCTCCCAGGCTGGAGCTGAACCCTTGGGCTACCCCACGCACCCTCGCCCTGCTCTCCCGGCCGGCGGGGATGAAGGTCAGCGGAAGGATCCCAGTCCTCCCGAGCACGCACTCTGCAAACCCTGACCGGGCCCCCACTCCCGCCCCGGACACGACACGGGGCAGTGAGGCAGAGAAAGCCCCGGGCGCGGCCGGCCTCGAGGACACGTACCTGCTGCCCCGGCTCGAGATTCGCTCGGCTCTGCGGCGGCGCGGGCCGCGGCTCTCGCTCCCGGGCGACCCCCCCCCCGCGCCCCCGCGCCCTCGCTGCCCGCCGCTCCCTCCTCCCCTCCCCGCCCCCCTCGCCCGGGCGGCGCCTGCGCCCTCGCCTCCCGCCCTCCGCGCGCGCCCCGGCGGCTGTAGGCTGTAGCCGGGCCGGGCGCGGGCGCTGGGAACTCGGCAGTTGCCGGCGCCCACCCGGAGCGCGCCGGCCTCGTGGCGTGGGTGAGGGGGCGCGGGGCCGGGGTGGGGGGCGCGCTCGTGCGCGAGTGGGGACGGGAGGGGGACGCGCAGGGAGGGTCCGAGGGGAGGCGGGCGAGCCGTGGAAGCAGCACGCGCGGAGCCCGAGGCGGGTGGGGGCCCGGGTGGGGGCCCCCCCCGGGGGTCTCACACAGTCGAGCTTGGCAACCTCCCCTGGCCTCGGGGCAGCGCCGTGCGGTTTCCAGGGCCCTTTGCCGGTGGTTCTTTACGTCCGCACGCGGCGCCCCGTTGCCTTCTGCGATGTGAGGCCGCGGGGGGAAAACACCTCGTTCTGGCCCAAGTCCTGGCACCGGGTACCCCTGAGCCTCGGCGTGCTGCCTGGGAGGAAGGGGGGACCGAACTTTCCTAGGCTCAGAACCCCCCAGGACAGTGTTTCTCCACCTTTCTGCCCTTTCATCGGCTCTGCTAAGCAGCCCTTCGCCCCTCACCCTCCCGCCCCGTGAAATTCTGATACCGTTTTACATCCTGTATGGGTGCTTTTGAGCCGTGTGTGTATCTGCGCTTTATGTATGGGAAGAGTAAGATTTCGCCCTCTGGAGATCATTTCGACGCAGCTGAGAATGCTTGTTCTAGGGTCATAGTTCTTGGCTAGCGGGTGGGGCAGTGGAGTAGGTGGGGACTCCGGATGCACCCACAAATATTCTCTGGGTTAGTAAAATCCATGCATGTATATGAACAACTCTAATGTCTGCGGGTGCTGTTACGAGCCATGGAATACAGTCACTTTAAGCAGCTTCTGTATTCGTGGTAGCTTTTATTTGTAATCTCCATCAGTTCGTGCTAAAAATACAAGCTACTTTCATATGGGGTCCTGACATTTTGTTAAAATACTTGAAAAGATTGGGAATCCTCGTTATGAGAGGAACACTTAAGTTCCAGGGTGGCCTTTGGCTCCATGGGCAACCTTAATTTCTGATGATTCTCATACCTTTTCTAAAGTGGGTGTTTGTTCGTTTTGTTAGGCCCATTTGGCTCCTCCTCTACCTCAGCTTTTCTAGCGAAAAGATGGGAATTGTGGAGTTGAAAGACTTCAAAAGCCAGGTGGCAGAATTGCCCCAGTGTCTTGGATTGCTCTTTTTCAAAATAGACAAAGGGACACCTAGATAGGAAGAGTATCTAATTTTGGCCAGTTTGGAAAGAAGTAAAATTTCTTCATCAGGCTCTCCTTCGTCTTTCAATGTTTCTTCTGCAGCTCTAATGGTGGAATTTCAACAGAGGAAAAAATCTTTGGAGATGATATTTGTAAAAGCTACCAGGGTTACCAGAGGATTTTCCTTCTGTTTCTGGAAGGAAGAAATGTGGACTGGAAAGGAGAAAGTGGAGATGTGTCAAGAAAACTTGGGAGGATGGATAGGAAGGGTGTGTGTGTGTATAGTTTTCTGATAGTTGGTGCAACACTTGACCTACACTTGAAAAAGTGTAAAAAAAAAAAAAAGGCCTTGGCATAGCTTGCCCATATTGTTATCCACCCCATTTCCCCCCAACTTTGAGCTCTGTGAAGATTTGAGTAAAACCATTGAAAAGCATCCAGTTACAATACTAGTTAAAAGAGTAGGGCAAGTATTTTGAAACTTGAAGAAGGAGAAATTGGAACACCACTATGGGTGTGTGTCTAGAACCTTCGTGAGACATGGACCGTGGGTGCAGTCAGAGTAGGGTGAGGGCCTCTGGAAAAAGACCCTTACCAAAACTCCGTATTAAACAATTAAACAAAGACAGTCACATTAATTCTCTAAAGTAAAATATCAAACTAGGAATATAAGCATTCTTCAATGAAGATTAGTTAAAACTAAAAAACCAGGAATAACCTGGCCTGGAATGTTTGAACATCCCCCAGATAAGAAAGTACCTCAACATAGCCCATGTCCTGTTTGTATCAATTAAATAAAGCTATTGTGAAATTTACTTTAGCCTGCTGCTGAAAGGCCCAGTTTATCTTTAACTTTGCCCAGATGCTGCTTTTCCTCTTCCAGCCCTAATCAAGTCATAACTCAGCTCACCGTGAAAAGCAAGACAAGCAGCCCTGACTGATAGGCTCCCAAACCAAAGAAAATGTTACTGAGAAAGGATCAAAGCAGTAAATTTCTTAGGTTAACTCTGCAAAATAGTCCAGAAAACTGATACGAAACTTAGTGTCTCTTCAAAGATAAACACTTGGAGACCATTTGGTGGGTCGGCATCCCTAGCTCTTTGTCTCTCAACCGCCTAAAAATCCCCTAGACAACGCACCACTACAGACCCCCTTGTCCCCTCCTGGCATAAGCCGGGAGCTCTGTCTGTCCCCATTGTCTCTCTCAGTAAAAGTCTCCCTGGCTGGCTCTCCTACCTTGACTGTTCGCTAAGTTCATTCTTCGATTCTGCAAACAAGAATCCCGGCATCAGTAGTTTTTGGATTTGGGTGCAATGCTGCTTCAAGGGAATTTTTCCTCTACAAGATCCTCTAGAGAGAGAAAACTGTGGAAATTACACACTAACATCTCTTACCTGTGTCTTTTAAGTTCTCTGCGTTTAAAATAAAATCTGATTTCATGGAAAATGTTAATGCAACCATTTTATGTGGTAACGTGAAGTCAAAAATCTCAAAACGTATAATTTGGGGGCTCTATGCTGCCCCCCTGGTGGTGTCGTACTTCACGGTACGAGCTAAAATCTCCCCTTCTTGATAATTTTGGGGATTAAAAACCTGAATCAAAAGTGTAGACAAGATGCCATTCTGCCTTCTCCAAACTTGTCCTGCTCTCGTTTTCAAATGCCTTAAGGCACAACACCCAGAGAATGATTAGCCTTTGAGGCTGATCAATTTAGAGGAACTGTAAAGATCTCTGGCAGGCCTCTCCAGCTTGTTCTTAAACTTGCCTGTAAGAATCACTTGGGGACACTTGTTTAAAATCAAATTTTGGAGCCTCACCTCAAACTCATTAAAATCTAATTTACAGGAGAGTGGCTTGTGATTTTTATTTTTAACTGCCGGCCCAAGGTGATTCTTATGAATAGAGGTTGGAGAATACTAGAGCTATAAATAGAACAGGTGCTGCTTCTGTTGACTGTAGGTGACTAAGGAGAAGGAATTTTGTGGGTGAAGTTACCCCACAGCAATAGGAAAATGAGCTATAATGTGGGAATGGAAGAAATTAACTCTGAGTTTAAGCCTTGTGTGTCACTTTCTTGCCAGATATATACATGCTTCTAACGTGGCTGTAATTGGTATGGTATCCCTTACTAAACTGCCTTTTGAGGTAAGTCAGATTTTCTTTTACTTAAAAAGAGTATCTTTTCAAGAATATCAGAATCACGTAACAGACACTGTGTATGTATGCATGTGCAGTATCATGAGGGGGGAGGAGCTCAGGGAAGGCAGTACAACATAAAGACGCATTTTACTACGCTGATGGACAGTAACTAACGGGGTGTTGGTGGTGACTTGATAATGGGGGAGTCTATTAATCATGTTGCTCACTTAATTGTATATTAATGATACCAAAATAAAAATAAATAGAAAAGAAATGTTTGAGAAGTACTGGGATTATTTCTTCCTTAACTGTTAGGAGTCACCAGTAAAGCCATTGGTTGCAGGGTTTTCCTTTGCTGGGAGGTTTTTTTTTATTGCTGATCCAATTTCCTTCCTAGTTATAGATCTGTAATTTTTTTTACTTCCTCATGATTCATTCTTGGTGAGGTTTTGTTTCTAGGAATATCTGTTTCACCCAGGTTATCCAGTTTCTTGGCATGGTACTGCTCATGGTGCTTTTAATATTTATTTCTGTAGATTCATTAGTAATACCCTCTTACTTTTGCTTCTAGTAAGTTGTCTTTTTTTCTTGGTCTAGCCAAAGATTTTTCTACTGTACTAAAAATCTTTTCAAAGGACTAGTGTTTGGTTTGCAATTTTCACGTCTATTGTTTTGCTTATCTCAGCTCTGAACTTCCTTCTTTTGGCTTTGGGTTTATTTTATTCTTCCTTTTCTAGTTCTTTAAGTTATAAAGTTAGAAGGCTGATTTCTGATTTTTTTTTTAAGGTAAAACAGCTATCAGTTACCCTCTTAGCAATGCTTTCATTGCATCCCTTAAGTTTTGCTATGTTGTTTTAATATAGTCTGTTATTAGATGCATAAATGTTTAACTGTTACATCTTGTATTTGACCTTGTATTAAATGTCTTTTGTCTCTTATAACCTTCTTAAAGTCTATTTTGTCTGGTAATGGTACATCTTTATCCTTTTACTTTTTAACTTACTTGCTTCTTTGGATCTGAAGTCAGTCTTCTGTAGACAGCATACAGTCCAATGATGTTTTTAACATCATTTTTCCAGTCTCTTTTGACTGGAATTTGATTTATATTTAAAGTAATAATTGACAGGAGGGACTTCTGTCATTCTGCTATTTCTATTCTATATGCCTTATAGTCATATCTTGTCACTCATTTTCTACAGGTCTTTTGTGATTAGTTGATATTTTTGTAGTCAAACATTTCAATTCCCTTTTGTGTATATTCTAAAGCTACTTCTTTGGTTACCATGGGGATTCCATTCAACATCCTCATGTAATAACATCTAATTTGAATTTATACCATAACTTCAATATCATAGAAAAATTTTGCTCTTAGAAAACTCCATCCACACCCCATTTTTGTCACAATTATGTCTTTATGCATTTTGTGCCTGAAAAATAGACCAGTAATTTTTTTTT